CTGCGCACCTCTTTTGAGAGCGTATTTAAGAGAGGTGAGCGGTAGGGTCGAGTTAGTTTTGTGTGTGGTATACTCGCCAGATAAACTTTCTGTGCGTATCGTCTATTTCGACACTCCCGGAGACAACCAGAAGTCAGGGATCCAACATACTACTTGAGCGCGGGGGCTGTCTTCAAAACACTAGTAGCCGGCGCTGTCTAGTAGTGGAGCGCTCTTGAAATAGTAGCGCATTGTAGTTCGTTGACGCGGTAATCGCGAAGTCTGGAAGCTGCCTAGTACGTGGGAATATGGACCATATTAGACTTGCGCCGCTGCAGAGGCTGCCCATTAGGCTATAGTAAGTGAGGCGTAGTAAGGCAGCGGTCAGTGGTCGCGTAAATACTGCTCTCCCTCCACTAGGGGCCTAGGCTGTGATCGATTTCTCTTTTCTAATTTCTTACTAGATTAGTTTTCGTGGAAAAAACTGTTAATTTGCATTCAGAACTCTTCTCATGAAAGCTCTGGTCCTGATCGGTGCTGCAACAAATGATCAAAAACTCCAGGAGAGTATGTCAGCAAGGGTATGTCTCATCCTACTCAGCTTTCCTAGTTTTCTTCGGAGTCTCGCCATTCTCTGGAATTTCCCTCATATATGTAGGCCCACATCATGCTGGCTGATTAAATGAGCTAGAGCACCTCATGTAGGCCCCACGTTGCACCAACTTTGTGCTGTGTAATCTTTGGGTCAAAGAAAAAAAAGTGTAAATTCCAGATTTTGGATCCGCTGGGTCAACGTTTTGCTCAAACTTGCCAACAGCCACCAAGTTCGGAAGTTGACAGTCAGCTTGTAGACCTTATACAGTGTATGGATGGAGTAGCCCGAGCCAGTCAGCCACATTCAGCCGCTATACTCTTCAGTAAGCTTTTTTAGCTAGGGGCGCCGTTCATACTTCGCCATGAGATCACTGGGATTGCGCGATACAAGCGATCGCATTGCGAAGTATAAACGCGCTCTAATTTGGATGGAGAGTATGTGAACAGTAGATAAACATTGTCCTTCAGAATTCCTTAGTCCGGTCCTTGAAAGCTGCGTTCCATTGATGAAATCGCGTTCATACTCTCAGCCGGTTGTCGCTGCGATTTTGGTCCTTATCCAGAATGTGACCACCAAAGTTTCCATTTACGTTGATGATAAGGTCAGTCGATGAAGCTAATCTTGCGCGCTCTGTATTTTCTAATATCCAGTTTTCAGGAGGACTCCGCCACCTTGTACCGTACCATAGTTATGATTGTGGACGTTTATCGATCGGAGCAAGCATCCAGATTCGTGGGCATGACGGAAAATGACGAGGATAAAGGCAGCGATCTAGTAAGGATTGATGGTTTTGATTGCCCTAGAGGGTGCCTATTGGCCTT